AGATGCAGGCATCAGCAGATTTAGCTCCTTTGCCATATTCGCACCTGGTGCAGAGAAGGATAATCCCCCACCCCTCTTTGTGGTACTAGGTATTGAACCAGAGCCTTCATGCTGAACTACATCTTTACCCTTTACATTTTCTTTTTTTAATTTTGAGATAGAGCCTTGCTGAGTTGCATAGTTGTCCAGGCTGGGGTGAAACATTCAACCCTCCTGCCTCAGCCTCCCAGAGTGCTGAGATTAGAAGTGAATCCCACCATGCCTGGCTTCCACATCTCCTCACAACAGTACTAATCTCATTTATGGTGATGTCACTTTCACAACCTAATTACCTCCCCAAACCATCACATTGGAGATGAGGGTTCCAGCATACGAACTTTGGGTGGTCCACTAATATGCAGCCCATAGGAACCTTTTTCTGGCCACTAACTACCTCCAATGACATAATTTTGAGTGATTGCATCATAATCTATAATGATGTAATGTCATTTATTTAGACATTTAGTTTACTCTCAGATTTTTACAAAGTTCACTCTGTGATGGCCCTTTTTCTATCTAAAGTGTTCTCATATTCTTGATTATTTCTGTGTAAAAATTCTTAAGTGAAGAAACATCATGTCAAAGCCATACACAGAGCAGATTCCCTTGCTTTAGAAAACCGTGTGAGCTCTAGAGTCTTTGTGCTAATGTACACTCCTTCCAGCAACAAGAGTGTCTATAGTAAATTCCCTCATGGTACTCCGTATTTTGTACCACTACGTATTTTTCCTTTCGATAGGAGAAAAATGATATTTATTATGTTAACTTATACCAGTGCCTTTACTAGTTATTATTCTGACTCTTTTCAATCTCTTTGCCTGGAAGTAAAGTCTTGCTGGACATGCCATCTGCCATTAAAGTTGACCATGTGTCTTGCCCCTTTATAAAACACCTTTACTCCTTGCCAGTTTCTTGGGTTATTTTCCTCACCACTTAGTACCCAACTCCTACATGAGGGCTGTGGTGTCGTAGGGCTTTTGTCACGACGAACTCTACTCTTAGCTACAGATTTTTGTGTTGGTTGGCACAACACCAGGTGTTGTAACAAACTGAGGAATTTCAGTAGTTTAACACAGTTATTGTTAGTTGTCCTCACAGTCAATCTGTGAGGCAATGAGGGGCCTGGAGCTGTTGCTACCTTTCTTCCTGCCATGTCTCATGCCAGGGCTATGGAGAGTTTTGCTTCTGAGCAGTGGGCAGTGGAGACACAGAGGACCTGTGGGAGGTTCCCACGCCAGGCCTGGAAGCCTTGGACTCGAGTTCTGCTCGCAGCCCACCAGCTGAGTGCAGTCATGATCACCCCAGGGCATCGGAGGCTGGGAGTATCATCTAGTTCAGGAAGAAGGAACAGGCTTTGGGGCACACATGACAGCTTCTCTGATGAGCTTGTGCAACATGAAGAAAAGTGAGCCTCGGGCCGGTGAGGTCCTTCGTGACTCCATAGCTTGCTGGTCTCCATCAGGTATGTAAGGTCCATCTTTGTCGATGTCTCCGTGTCCTATCACATCAAAGAGGGAGAGTGGGCCTGTTTTAAATGCTGTCAGTGCAACCATTTCCCTGGGGACAATTTCTGAAAGGACAGAGGCAAACCTAGAACAACCTCCACATGTACTTGCTTCCAGCTCTTTGCCCAAGCAGATACTGCAGGGATTTTCCCCTCCTCTGCCCTCCTCGCCCCCCACCATTCCCACATCTGGTGCCAGGGAGCTGGTGCTGCTGGACCTCAGGGAAGACGCATCACAAGAGGGTACATTCAGGACTTTGTCAGACCAATGGCCATTTCTCCAGGATCACCTGGCAGGGATAGCTCCCTCCCAAGTAGGACTTGAGTTTGGGACAGCTATGCCGGAAAGCACAAATAAGGAAGTGTGGGGAGTAAGTCAAGGAGGGAGAAAGACCAGAAGTGTGTTTCTACTGGGGACAACAGAGACTGGATCCCAGCAGGAACCTTCTGGGAGACCCCGCGGAACATGTTTTCTCATTGTCCCTTTCGAAGTAAGGGGTGTTGGGGACTTTTCCAAAAGCTCCATCTTGATTGGCTGGACCCCTGGAGGGTGGAGTCCCCCACCTCCCCATCTTCAGGTTGTATCTCCAAGTAGGCTGGTGAGCTCCTGGGGCAGAAGGAAGACTCGCAGAGGCACAGGCAAGGGGAAGCTGTGGACCTGCCTGGGCCGGGAACCGTCCACAGTCTCAGGAGAACATGGACGTGCCCAGGGAACAGGCGGCACCTGCCGCAGCAGGGCAGAGGTGCAGGCAGTGGGAAATAAAGATCTGGATGATCTCAGAACCAGCCTAACTGACCCCACTAGGGGCTCGTGAATATCTATTGACCGTCTGCCTCGTCAGACACAAGAGAGGAATGACTTCCTGCCTGCCCTTGTGTACTCCCTTCCCTTATACAGTCTAAACATGGTGCCCATGCAGATTTTGTGCGGCAAAGGCTGTGACAGGGCCGGAAGCATTACAGATTCTTAGGAGATCTTTGAGGCAGGACACTGACTTCTGGATGTGGATCGGGCAGCAGAAGGAAGAGGCATTGGAACCTGCCACTGAGGGTGGGGAGGATTTTGACAATCATCCCGGGGAGGGAAGTCCATTTGTGGACAAAGCTATGGAGAGTTTAGGAGGTGGTGGGCAGGAGGACAGGGTAGAGTGCAGGAAAAGGGATGGGATCGGGTTGGCAGGAAGCTATCACCGTGTTATTGTATCCGGGGAGGAGACCAAGTCCTTACCCCATGTGTGAAGCCAAGGCTGGAGGAAGCCAGGTCAGGCATCAGGCACAGGGATGGAAACTCAGTAGAAAGCAACAGCCGATGTGGCATCTTGGCGGGAGAGGAGCCAAGGCATTGGGGATTCATAGGGAAGGTGGATGGTCCCTGACTTCCAACTTCTGCGTCTTTTATTTTTCTGATGGTGTGAAAGCATACCCTCCAAGCAGCTGGCAAGGTCTGGGTCTTGGGTCTCTTTGTGACCCACTTCTGACAAGTCTGGAACTGTGTCTCCAGTGAACGAGGGTTTGCTGCCTCTCATTCCCTGGGGGATCAAAGTCAAAATTGAATGGAAGTCCATCCTAAAGTGCAGCTCTAAAATTGTTAGAGTAGCTCCTCTACTGGCTTAGACAAGAGTCTCTTCCAGTCCATTTAAAATAGTCTGATAGGCCCAGGCACAGTGGTACATGCCTGCAATCCCAGCGCCCTGGCAAGCTGAGGCACAAGGAACACAAGTTTGAGCCCAACCCAGGTAATTTAGCAAGACCCTGACTCAAAATAAAAAATAACAAAAGGACTGGGGAGGTAGTTCCATGCAGAGGCCCTGGGTCTAATTCTCAGTACAGCAAATAAATAAAATATTCTTATAAGACTACAGCACTTCCAGGACAAAGACAGCATGCTCTAATCTCTGCATCTGCGAAATCTGGTTCCTGGAAGGCATCTGCTGAATATTTTTGTTGAATTGGTGCATTTCAGTGAAGTTTCCTGCATTAAACTACATGTGTTTTTATGGTTCTGTAATCACAGGATCCATTTCATTTACTCTTTACCTACCATGTAGTAAAACCATATAACTAGCTGTAGACAAAAGTTACAAGCGAAGCCCTTGAGTGCGGGTGGGTGTTGGACATCTGTGTATAGTTTGTGACTTTCTCCTGTCCCCTGGCCAGGGCACCGATGGTATTCCTGATGGAGGAGTCCCTTCTACCTGAGTCCCCGGGTGACAACCCTCTCTCTGCCGACCTGAGATGTGCGTGTCGAGTGGGTGGCAAGGGGAGCATTTATCACGTTAAACCACTGCAGTTCCAGGGTTGATTTGTTACCACAGCTAATCTAGCCCACCCTAATACAAAAACTTTGAAAGGTCTGAAGGATCAGAGTACATGTTGCCAAATTGCACAACTGTTGGTGTACAGGAAGCATCCAGTAAATATCTAATAGTTTAATAAATGAGTCAATGAGACTGGCCATCAATGACCCACGAAAATGCCAATTTCATGCTTTATCAACAGTAGTAGTTTTGCCCTTACATCAATCTTGCCATTTTAATAGGCATACATGTCATCTCCATCATATTCAACTTGCCTTTCTTTCCTTATTGGAGAAGCTGGGCATTTCTCATCTGCTGTTAGCCATTTCCTATTTTGTGTGTTATCTGTTCTATCATAAAGAAGATCTGAAAGTGTTCGTTCATTTTTTAAACTATTTGTTGAATGTGTTCACTGGACTAGGCATTGAAATTATGGTAGCAAGAAACTTTGCCATCATGGAAATTTTAAAAGGAAGGGAGGGAAAATGGACATGTAAACAAATACCGAAATATTTTAGGCAGTGGTAAGTGCTGTGAAAAATAAGGCCAGGTGAGGGGCTTGATGGTGTTTCCCATAAGGTGGCCAGACAGAGTCTTTCTGATAATGTCACTTTTGAGCAGAGGGACTGGACCATGCTGGTGTTGGGAAGCAGGGTGTCAAGGGAACAGAATACCCAGGGCGGCATGCTCGACATTATGGGAATACAGCAAGAGGCCAATCTGGCCAAAGCAGAAGGAGAGAGCAGTAGGAGGTGAAATTGAAGAAGTAGCAGCTTAGAGCGTGTGGGGTCTTGTTATGTTATGTCCTTTGGCTTTTCTCTGGAGTAACATGGGAGCTACTGGGGGTTGTTGAGGTGAGCAGTGCCATGATATTGCTCATTATTTAAAAGAATCGCCCCTAGTTCTATGTAGATAAGAGACAGAAAGGGAGCCAGTAAGGGACCAGGCAGAAGACTACTGCAATGTTCTGACAGGAGATGCTAGCAACTTGGACCAAGGTGACCCCATGCATGAGTGAGAAGGGAGCAGATTCCAGACAGAGTCTGTGGCTGAGCTAATGGGTTTTGGTGACAGATTGGACATGGGATGGGATGAAAGAAATAAAGACATCGGAATCATTTCAAGATTTTATCTCCAGTGACTGGTAGTAAGTAGTTGCCATTTACTTTATTGCTTTGCTGAGCCAGGTTTGGTATTTTTAGTGACTCCAGAGAATTCTGTGTTAAACATCAAAGGAAGAAGGTACTGGGAGGACAAAGCGCTTTATTTCCCAATCCAGGGGTAGGTCATAGTGTCTTAAAGTGAGCAGCGGCCTGCTCAGCACTCACAGCCTCAGTGATTGGTTCAGGAGTAGGCAAATGATGAGCCAATCAGAGGCCCACACTTTCGCTGAAGACTCATGGAAGACGCTTCTTCTGCAGACACAAGTTTTGGAGCACGCTCCCTGCACCTTTGAGCTGCCCTCTCCCGCAGAGAGAGCCTTCAGATGAAGGTGACACCATAGCAAGCAGAGACAGTGAGGGAAAGAAAGCCAGGTCTTTGGGGACCTGTTTGAGTCCTACATCCAACTTCACCTGAAATCTACCCAGGAAGCATTCAGTTGCACAGCCCCACGTTCCTCTTCATTATTCACATCAGCTTGGCCTGTGCTTTCTGCTACCTGCTACCAATCCCGTTCCCGAAGATGGAAGCAGCTTCCGGGCAAGGGCTGCCCACGGCTGTTCTCAAGCCCAGTGCTCTCCACCTGCGGTCTCCGAACACAAGAAGCGGTCACGGCAGAAAATCTGCAAACCATTTGGAGCCGAGGATTGGAGGATTACATCATGCTCTGCGAGAGGAAAGGCCACCTTCAGAGAACATGTTGTCCAAAATCCAGGAGGAACAGATCCAGGAGACGTCAGAGCAGCGCACCCACTTTGGCATCAGACCCTCTTGGCTGCGTCCCCAGCAGTGAGTGCGGTGAGTTCTTCCTAAAACGGGGTCCTTGGCCACTTGCTCCCAGACACTGATGAACTTACAGTCACTCTCACCAATTGCCAGATGCTTGGCATGGAAGCACTCCGGATGCAGCCTCCACCAGCACCAACCTCCTACCTCATGCAGCATTTGTGTCTTAACATCCTTTACCAATCTGTGCTCCTTACAAGTCAGCGCAGGTCCACAGGGAACAGGACAGACTGTGGAAATCAGACCATCCACACTTTCCTTTGGCTTCTCGAAGGCTGGTGGATTAAAGGGTGTCCCAGGGCTGAGGTCAGCTGGCAGCTGTAGGTGCTGCAACCCCAGGGTCAGCAAATGGTCTACACAGGAAGTCCTTTGAGGCCTTAGTGGGTTGTTATATGGTGGGCTTCCCAGAGTCCTTTCTCCTTTACTGTCCTGGGGGCTAGGAGCATCAACAGTCTATAGCCAGACTGCTGCGGTTTGGTTCTCAGATCCACCACCCATAGACTGCACGAGTTCTTAACCCCTGTGTACCTTGGTTTCCTCCTCTGTCAAATGCAAATTATAAAATGTATCAATCCCAAATAGTTGCTTGGAGGTTGAACAACTCTTACTGCATGTAGTTTTAGAACACTGTCTGGTACTCAAGTTTTTTTTGTTCTTTTGGCTGCTATAACAAAACACTGTAGACTGGGTGGCTTCAACAACAGATACTTATTTTTCAAAGTTCTGGAGGCTGAGATCAAGATACCAGCAGATCAAACATCTGGCGAGGACTGACTTCCTAGTGCTATCTGCCTATCTACCCATGGTGGAAAGGAGAGAGCTCGCCGAGGTCCTTTTATGAAAGCACTACTCCCATTCAGGAGAGCTCTGTTCTCATGACCTCATCTCCAAGGGCCCGTCTCCAGATATCACCACACTGGGGATTGGGGGGGCACAAATATTCAGTCTAGAGCAGGCACCTGGTGAGTGCCAGGGAATGTTAGCTGCTGGACTGCCTGTGGAATGATAAGCAATAAGAATGCATACACAAAGCAGAACGCCCTTTAATGTCTGACAGGAAAAGGAAAGGTCCGGGTGCCTTTCAGTGAGGCCCAATCTCCTCTCTCCAGCCAGGGTGGAGTCTTTGGACTGGAACCAGTTTGGCGGAAGTGGAAGCCCAGCCATCTCCTTCCTGTTGCCTCCAGCCCTTGGGCGGCAGCCGGTGTGACTTAAAAAAAAAAAAAATGCTGCACAATCCTTCTCATCTTCCTCATAGCAAACAATAGTAATGAACAGTCCTCACCTTTCTGAGATACTTGTTTTTGTTTTGTTCTGTTTGGTACGTGGGGTCAAACTCAGAACTGTGTGCTTGCAAGGCAGGGGACAGAACCACTGAGCTAAATCCCCAGCCCCAGCCCTCACTTTTTAATTCCACTTTATCTTTCCTCCCAGAGCCTTCCTGCTCTCTCTCTTCCTCCTCCACTCCTCGATTGTCACGTGTGTGCACCGCGTGCCCCCACCCTGATGTTGTCCACAGGTCTTTCCAGTCTTTCTTTTATGCATAGCTATGTATACATAAATATATATTTGTAAATAGTAAATCAAAAACTAATACTTGGAGTTAAAAAAACAAAACAAGAAGGTAAGCAGGAGATGCTGGGACACAATACGGTAAAATTCTTAATTGCCTGGATCCTGCTGTACCTCAGGGGCACAGGAGTACAGGTTCCACGCTGGAACTGGAACCAGGTGCTTTTACCATCTAAAGCCCTTGCCATGAATTTATTGTTACCGGATAGGCAGAACAGGCCAAGCTGTGCCCCAGGCCAGGTTCTTCCAGGGGGCTTGGACCCTGGGCTGATTTGTACTTTCCTACCTTCCAGACACTGCTATGCCGGGCCACTGGAAACCTGCCCAGGTCCTGTTAATCCCACTGAGGGCAGCGGGAGTGCCTGAGGCCAGAAGGCCTTGTGCAAAGCCAGCAGGGTCCTTGGGACGTGCAGGAGGAGTAGGGAAGAGAGGTCCAAACCAGTGGAGTTGTGTCTGCTCCTGTACACTGTGTCCCCCACAGCACACTTGTCATGTGCCTCCCTAGTACTGATGTACCTACCCTCCTGCCCCAGCAGACTGTGCATTCCTTCTGAGAAGACATCTGGTCTGGTTAGTTTGTCTTCCTGCTTCTTTGTGCCCAAATTCCCTGGAGAGGTCCCTGGAACAGAGAAGGAACTGCAGGCATAACCATAGCTGACATTTATGGTCGGGGGGCCACTCTGTGCCTCAAAGACAAATACATAAGACAGAAGTTTCCATTCCGATCTTCACAACAACTTCATAAGGGAGAGTCCTCTGGATTCTGTTACTAAGCCCTTTATAGAGCTGAGGAAATTAGGCACAGAGAGGTTCAGTCACTCGTCCCAGCTTATTCAGTGTCTTAGTTGCTTTTCTCATTGCTGAGACAAAAAAAGCAGACAGTCACACGTTAAAGGTGGACAGGTTTATTGACTCACAGTTTATAGAGGGTTCAGTCCATAGTCAGCTGGCTCCAAGGCAGGTTGCATGGCAGAAGGGCATTGCAGAGGAGCAACAGTCTATGGCAGGGAAGGCAGGCAGCAGCAGCGAGTGATGGTAGCAGCTCTCTTTCTGTCCCTTGTATTCCCAGGGTGAGGCACTCTTAATCCTAGCATCACACACCCTAGATCCAGCCACCTCTGAAAGGCCCCACTTATGACCATATGAGGCTTTAGGGGGATATCTAGATATAAACCATGCCACATGGGTATGTGGATGGCTACAATCAGACCCAGATATCTCAGCTCCATACTGCAAATTTCTAATCCCTATTCTTTCCTCCTTTTCCAACTCTTCTGTCCTTCAAGCTAATGGCCATAGAGGTCACTTTAGGATTGCACTTCATTATGTCACTGTCCTGATCTTTAATCTTCCAAGCCAGGCTCCCCAGTGTGATGTAGGTGCCTGTCTGCAGGTGTCTCCAGTGCCCCTTCCAGTTACCTTCCCACTTCAGAGGCAGTGGGGGCTTGATCCCAGCTCTACTACATACGCACAGCTGGAAACCTTGGCGATGTCACTAAAGGGTGTCCTTGCATTTGGATTCCGACATCATATAGCTTTTATGGGGACATGATCACCACTAGCCACAGGAACTGCTTAGAACATGGGTTGAGAGGCATATTTTTTATTTGTTAGGAAAGGGTCAGGTGATCAATATTTTTGGCTTTTTGGACCATCCAGCGTTTGTCACAAGTGATCAATGTTGCCACCAGAGCCCCAAGATAGGGCCAGGGTCTGAATGTGTGTGTCCCAGGCACTACTACGGGGGTGGGTGGGGCCTTTCGAAAGTGATTAGGCCACATGGGGAGAGCTCTCATGAGTGGAATTAATGCCCTTACAAAGGGACCTAGGGGTTTACAAGTCTGTAGACCCAGGACTCTGAAGGCTGACGCAGGAGGATCCCATTTTTGAGACTAGCCCAGGTAACTTGTCAATTTAGCAAGATTCCGTCTTAAATTTAAAGGGGTAAGGGCTGGGAAAGTGGTGATGTAGCTCAGTGCAGAGGTACTGAATTTGATCCCCAGTACACAGAAATGAAAAACCTGGGACCCCAGAAGGAATTTGGCTCATTGCAGGACAAAGGAGACGGTACTGCCTACGAATCTGAAAGCCTTCATCCTATACTCGATCTACTGTTGTGAACATTTTGGATACCAAGGCTGTGAGAAGTGCATCTCCGTTGTTTATAAACCACCCCAGTTTATGGCATTTTGGTAGAGCAGCACCAGTGGACTAGGACAGCAGCCACAAGCAGTACGAAGAAGCAAAGTGAGTGCGTGGCAGTGAGATTTTATTTATGGGCACTGAAATTTGAATTTCGAACAATTTTTGCACGTCACAAAGTAGTCTTTTAAAAATCTTTTCCGCAACCACTTAAAAATGTAAAAACCATTCTTAGCTCACGAGCATTACATAGGCAAACAGGTGCTGAGCTAGATTTAGTTCCCAGAGTTGTTGATGTCCTAATTTAGAGGATTGCCTCGTACCAAGAGGAGCTTCGTCAGACGAGTAAGTTAGACGAGACTTAAAAGGTGCTGAGGCCTTTGATGTGATGGGGACGGTGGATGGAAAGGATCCACCAAATATGAGAACCAGAGTTGAGAACCCAACATGTTCTGAGGCCCGGCTGTGACCAGGCACCCCCTTCTACAGACCCTTTTGCTAAGTCCTTACACTGACCTGCATCTTGCACCTGTTTATGGAGATGAATGAGGCTCAGAGAGGCTAAGTACAAGGCCCAGAGCTGCACAGCTTTTAAGTGGCAGAGTCAGGATTAGAACCTGTAAACGTTTTCTACAGAAGGGTTGGTGAGGTCGCTTATTTCATCCTCAGTAACCGCCTCAGATCCAGCCTGGTGACACAGAGACTATGAATTTTCTACCCTACCATCACGCACTGGTTATATATTTTAATGAAACTGTAATACACAAGGTGCTAAGCCAGGGTTTGGGGACACAGTGGTGGAAAAGATTTCATTTTCACATCGTGGGGTGTAGTCTGTTAGGAAACCAGGACACTCAAATAAGCAACTATCACCCAGGGCCACGATGCCAACTGATGGTGCTAACTCACATCGGAAAATCCGAGGCTTCAGGAAGGAAGTAATGTCTCATTTCAGGCTGAAGGTCAAGAAGGAAGAGCCCAGGAAAAGCGTGAAACGATGAATAATGATACTAAGTGACGTGATTCTAACCGGGGCCTCCTGCGTCTCAGAAATCTACCTGGTTTCAGGATTCATCACCTCTGACAGCCCAATACCCTTCCCAGGAGGGCCCCTGTATCTTGGTTCTTGGCTGTCATTTCCTCTGCCATCTCTTTCTGAAACAGTATCATATTTTTGCCCCATAGCCCCTGGAGACAGAATCCAGCTCCTTCTCTATTTTCTTCATTACTTACTTGAACTAGTCCACAAATTGGATAAACCTGACTCTAGATTTTGGGGGATGGAGAGGGCATCACAGGAAGGGGTCCCTTCTGGGGCCTTGGGTTTCTGCCCCCCATTTCCTTCCTGGAGCTGCAAACAAAATCTTCCCTTTGTCTTGCTAGGAGCGTCCCACCCATCTCCGGCCACAAGGATCTTAGATTCAGCTTCTTAATTTTGGCCAAGTATTTTCTCAGTAAAGACAGCTCTACTTTCGTAAGAGGAATTCTAATAAAATTCTCTTGACACATCCATTGTTTAGTTGGCTCCTCTAAGCAAACCCTCAGGATGGCTGTTACTGTCCCCATTTTATAAATGGGGAAACTGAGTAACCATCCCAAGAAATGGTGCTGGGAGTCACAGGGAGAACTGTCTGGATCCAAAACCTCCTTGCAAACTCACTCTCTATTTGCTTTCTACTCCCATTGAGTCTGGGGAAGGAGGAGTGTGTTCAGGGAGGAAGAATACCATCAGCAACTGGGTCCATAAAAGTCACCAGAGGCACCAGTTTCAAATTCCCTACGTCTCCACCATCTTAGAGTGAATATTTCTTATTCTTGTTCTCTGAGAGAAAGAGAGAGCTGGACAAGACCGACCAAGTCACACATGTCCCCAAACAGACACGGTTTCTTTCTAAGAACACGGTTGTCCCAATCGGTCAGGTTATGGGGCTTGGGTTGGGCACAGACCTAGCACCTGACTGGGTCCATCCAAGTGCACAGGCCTGGGGCCCTGCTCAACCTGAGAACATTCTGGAAAGTAGCAGTTCTTGGATAACTTCTCAGACTCTGAGGAGACAGGGAGAAGAGGAAACCAGAAATGAGGAGAGGGAAAAAGAGACGTTCTGTGTTCAAACAAGCAATTTTTGATTCAAAGTGAATTCTGCCGTTGAAACCAGAAACTAGAGAGGTTTCACACAGGCCAAGGTTGAGGGCCAGCGCTTTGGAGAGCTGGCTCTCAAGTCAGAGAAATGAAGTAACTGTGAAATCAGTCTCTATGAACTAAGGGCTCATTTTCAGAGTCCAGAATTGAAGGACATGTCACTAGTGGCATCTTGGGTGCTGCCAGCTCTGACTTTCCTCCACGTGTGGGTTTGAGTGCCTGGGTTAAGCAGGGCCCCAGAGGAAGGCAGAGGAACAGGAGCCCCGCCTTCAGGAAGCCATGAGCACAGAGCAGCAAAAATCTGCTTCCTCTTCCTCCTCTCCAAACCCGGAGGTCACCGGAGGCTGACAACTGCCCCCCTCCCTCTCCACCCTACTCCCCACACCCCACACCTACCCTCACCAACCTCCTCTGCTGAATCCCAGTGTCGGCTCCAGTCCCCCCATCCCCGGTGGGGCTTTCTTGACTTCTAGCTTCTGCCCGAAGACACAGGAAAGAGGCCAAGGTTGCAGGCACGGAGGCTGGCAGGCCCCAGCAGGTCTGCTTCTGTTTTGTGGGGACAGCAGCAGGCAGAGCAGTGGGCAGCCTTGGAAAGAGGAAATCCTTTCTGGCCTCTAAAACAATGATTGCTTAGAACAGTGTCTGGGTCACAGCAACCGCTGTACAGCTGTTAGCTGTTATTCTCCGGTGTTGTCCAGGCTTCCAGGGGTGCTGCAGGGGGACGCAAGCTAGGTGGGGGAGACGAGGGCCTCAGCTTAAAAATCTGGGGTGCGGCAGTGGAGAGTGTGATGTGGACAGGTTCAGGAACAGTAATTAGCAGGACGTCTCTGTGGAAACGGGAGTGGACCGGATGGGACAGAGTGAGCAGGGGCTGGGCTGCACGGGGCCTCAGTTGCAAGGCTGGTCTGCGACAGGGAGTTGGGTGACAAGGATTTTAATGAAGATGTCATTTTCCTATCCTGGATTAGGGCTTGGTACAGCTCAACTCTGACTTTGCATTTGGATTCTGTGCCCTCTCTCTCTCCCCCACCCTTTGCATTTTCCAAATTTTGAAACTCTGAGCATGTGTCTTTTGGGTAGTTGGTAAATAACTACCATTTCCTGGGAATCTTCACAGGAGAAGGTCCTACATATGACACTTTTGTTTTTGCTTTTAAGAAAGTGGGATAATCTAGGCAATTGCTCACCGTACAAAAGACAACATGTCTAATTTCCCACCTTCGAGGTTGTCAGATCCTGCTCTGTTCTGCCAGAGACCTAATTTATACCGTCAAGCTCTGCGGGAGGCTATAATTTGGGTACCTCCTGGGTGGGGTGGGGTGGGGGTCCCAGCTCTTCCCAGTCCTAATGGCTCTTGATTAGGGCTTCAACTGTGTCTCTCCTCACCCCCACTGCAAGAGACATTTAGCAATGTCTGGAGACATCTTTGGCTGTCACAGTTTGGGTGGGGGCAGGTGGGCTGGTATCCAGTAAGGAAAGGGCCAAATGCTGCTGAACACCCTACAGTGCCCAAGCGTCCACCTAGGACTAGACCCAGCGAGGCCTCTGCCAAGCAGGGAGAGTGCAGGAAACTGAGTCACTGCACGGATGAGACAGGAAAGGAGTCGGTTGATTCACCAAGGGGCGAGAGCGCCTGGAAACACTGAATATCAGAATTTTTAGGAGCTAACACAATTTGCCCATTTTTAATTAACTCCCTGTGGCAACAGTGACATTTTCAGCACCTTGTCCTGATGATAAAATAGTCAACTTCAAACTTACTAGCTAAACGGAAGCATTCATCAGTCCTACCAGAGCAGGTTCGGCATGAGGAGCCACAGCTGGGCTTGGCTCTGCGTCCTTCTATGATAACAGCGCTGATTCTGATGGCTTTGACCTTCAGGAGATACAGCAACAGTCCTGGCAGGAAGCAGGCACCCTTTTAACAGAAGTAAGTTTCTAATCAGTTATGAAACATGTCAAATAATTTTGAACCTGATACACCACAAGCTTAATTTGGGGGAGGGGTGGTTTACAAGAATGAGTGAGGTGGCTGGGAGTTTCTTTTTAGTTAATTTGTAGCCAGCTAGTTAACAGAGAGGGTAAGGACCAAAACCTGTACTCTGGGATCCAACTTTATGAATTAAAAAAGTAGTTCTATGGCACACATCTATAGTCCCAGCACTCAGGAGTCTGAGTCAGGAGGATCATCATGAGTTCAAGGCCAGCCTGGGCTACATAGTGAGACCCTGCCTCAAAAAAAAAATGTTTCTGATATTTCTCACTGTATGGCCTTGTGAGAATTACTCATGGTACCCAAGTTTCTCCATGCATAAAATGGAGATGATAATATAAGATATAAAATGTCTCCTAGAATTGCTGAGAATTACAGATGTTGATGGTGCTAATTGTTGAGAACAGTACAGTATTTGAATGTGGCAGGAGCTAAGTTGTCACTGAAATGCAAATAAAATATATTCAGTTCATCCATACAGTTAAAAACCTTTAAAGTTGCTTGACTCAGTCTGAGTGGAGCTAACTCCTAAAGTCCCTCATAAAACAGATCATTAAGATTGTTCCTATGAATAGCACAATAAGATTTTTAAAAAGCAACTCAGAAGTTTAAAGGTAGAACCAGTATTCTAAATCTGCTACTCCAAAAAAAAAAGAAACAGAAAAAAAATCAAATCCTCTTTTCAAAAAGAGCGGCTGTGAAGTTGCCTTCTGCCTACTAAAACAGTCCCCTGGGAAATCAGAAAACTCACAAAGGCCACATGAGTTTCGAAGGAGCCACCCTGTCATACAATTTCCCTGCATTGCGAGAGGATGGAGACTGTAGCCTTGAGGGAGCTGGCCTGGCGTACACACCCTCTCGAAACCCACCCCTGGACCCAGCAATTTAGATCCACTTAGATCAGTTTGCTGCATTGAGCCTCCTTCTGAACTAACAGTTTCAGGGAAATTTGGGTCCAGTAAAGGCTCAAAATATCTTGTTTCGTTTGGATGATTGTATAACTAAAATTTGGGAAACCCCACAGCTCATTATTGGAAAGCTACTATGTCCTTTAACTGAGACTCACAATAAGAAGGTCAGCCTGCGAGTCCCAACTTTGGGGTTCCCTCTGGGACAGGCCCAAGTCCAGAGCAGGAAGTGGTGGCTGCAAAGCAAGAGGTAGCACTTCTCTGCCGTGACTTGGCGAGATCAGCACACTGGATCGAATGGAGAAGTCAATGAGCAGCAGTCTCCCATGCCTGGCACAGATCTGATGCTGAATTCTCATCCATTCCTGAATTTTTCATTCTTCAGAGCAAGGGTGGGCAAACTTCCTGTCAAGGGCCAGATCAAATGGTCTTTATTGTAAGTACTTAATTCTACCACTGTGTCACAAATCACAAGGCCAAATAATGGACGTATTCCAATAAAACTTCATATACCAAACAGGTAGTGCATCAGATATGGCCTGTGGGTAGTAGTTTGCCAGCTCTTGCCTTAGACCAATGCTTCTTAAACTCTTTGACTGGAACCACTGAATTCTTGTCCAATAGATGATGCTCCTCTGCCTGGTTGGTGTTGGGCTTGGTCATGTGACTGGCTTTGGCCAGTGAGTTTGCAGGAGTGCAGCTCTCTGCCATTTGTCATCCAGCCAATGGTATAAGCAGGTATAAGACAAGAGGAGGCTTTCAGTCTGCTTAAGGGGAGAGGCTTGGCCTTTTGTGCCTTGAGCATTCTGATGAGAAGTGCTTCGGCCAGGCAGCTGCTGCCCTTTTTTGGCTTGGCCCCCCATGGATCACCTGTGGAGTGCAGCTCACAGGGCAGGACCAAGAGCTTGAAGCAGAGCTGCCCAAGAAAGCCCAGCCTAGACTGGTCACTTGCCAGCTGACCCATAGATAAATGAATGAGCCCAGATGAGATCAGCAAAGTGCACCCAGCCATCCCCAACTCATTAGAAATAAATGCTTCCTGCCTGATGCTGCTGTGAGTTTTGTAATTGTTTGTTATGCAGCACTATTGTGGCAAGAGCTGACTGATACAAAGACTTCAATAAGAAACATCGTACTCTGGGATTCAGATTTACAAAATTAAGTACAACAAAATATTTAGAAAATACTTAAACAACTGCTGGATATTATTATAAGTGCTCCATCTATCCTTCTGACAAGCCTATAAAGTTAGTATTATTAAGGCAGAGAAACCGAGGCATGAAGAAGTTAAATAATTATCCTTAGGTCACATAGTAAACTATCACACGATGGTGGTTCAAACCGAACAGGTCTGGCTTCATAGTCCATCCTTAACTGCTTCTTAATATGCTCGGTGAGAAAGCCCTACATGGGGGACCCTCAAGCTTAGACTTCCCGGCTTCCACAGTCCCAAGACCAAGGAGTTTCTATGGTTTAGAGGTTACCTTATGCATGGGAGAGAAAGGACTAAGACAGAGTTACTCTGAGAAATCCAAAACTAACAGCCAGCTGGGTGTGGTGGTGCATGCCTGTAATCCCAGCACAGGTTTGAGCCCAGCTGAGCAAATGAGCAAGCCCTTATTTCAAAAAGGGACAGGGCTGTAGCTCAGTGTGAAGGTCCTGGGACCAATCCCCCATTTATAAAAGAAGAAAATCTAAAAACCAAACTTACTCAAGAGTCATAAAAACACAATTTTCACAGTTGGACTGTGTCGCTTGAGCTTCTTGTCCCCGGGTCTGCCCACCTCTGCGTGCTCCCCCGCGTGCTCGGTGGTGAGGAGGAGCTCAGCAGACAAACCGCACAGGCCAGGTGTCCCTCCTCCCACTCGAGCCACTTCTCCCGGGGGCTGCGGAATCCACACTGGCCCCTGTTGCCAGCCCCTCAGGGACGATGGACAATTGCGTCACAGAGTTCTTGAGGGAGGGCTGATGGGGTGGGGGCCCCTGGAGCATTTTATCCATGGAAAGAAGAGCTTAGGCCTAAAGTGGAAGGACCACAGTTGGGTGGGAGAGCAGAAGGGCCTGGAGTGCAGACCAGTGCCTGGGTCAGGCCAGGAAAATCCTTCTGACAGGGTTGGAACTCAATGGAAATAGAAACCTGACTTCAGCATTACAAATATGAACTGTAGGCCGGCCAGCTATGTCCCATCTGTGTGCAGAGTGTGGAAAATGCCAGCCGTGCCCACAGAGCAGCTCCTCGGTCCCCTGGACCCAGAATTCCATGCACTGGCTTCTCACCCACAGGTCTGCTCCCGGTTTTTCCCTTACCACACACATACTCAGGCGCACAGTGGTGTGAACCCTTCCTCTCCAAACTTAGTGTGCATGACCAACTGCATTGCCTCGGTTTGAAAACCTATCTACCCACTTACAGGATTGCAAGACCTCTGCTCTATAAAAGCTTTATATGTTTAGACAAATGCTAAGAACTAAAAAGAAAAATAAATAAAAGGGAAATGGAAGCTTACTTCAGACACCATGTTCAGGGTTGGTCTCAGAGCTGAGAGCTTCAGCCTGAGAAGGAGCCATTTGGTGAAAATCCAGGAAAGGGGGTTCCATAGAAAGAAAAATCTTTGGTGCAGGAGCTCCCAGGTAGAAATCAGCTTACTAGCTGGAGGGATAGAAAACAGTGTG